GGGTGAACACACACATACAGTACAGGCTCTTACACGCATGGAATGATGCTGCTCAGAAACAGAAACATAAAAATACGAAAGCTGTGCCGTGTGACATCAGCAGTCTTTAATGAGGCTGTTTGCTTTATGTCGATGTCTCTGCTTGTTCACACCGAATTACTCTGCTTCTCCTTTGGGAGGCAAAACCCAGTCCTGTGTGTCAAAACTGCTCAGAACACGATCATAATTTTGGATTTCTTAAAGGGATACTCCCCTTTTTTTGGAAATAGGCTCATTTTACAACTCCCCCAGAGTTAAACAGTTGAGTTTCACCGTTTTCAAATGCATTCAGCTGATTTTCTGATATTTAGAAGAATATCAGTAACCAGACGGTTTCTGGTCTCATTGACTTCCATAGTAGGAAAAAAAATATACTATGGAAGTCAATGAGACCAGAAACTGTCTGGTTACTGATATTCTTTTAAATATATATAAAAAAAATCAGCTGAATACATTCGAAAATGGTAAAACTCGACTGTTTAACTCTAGGGGAGTGGTAAAATGAGCCTATTTTCAAAAAAAAAGTGGAGTATCCATTTAATATTCACAACGAAACTAGCGCAACGGTCTGTTTTGACATCTAAAATTATCATTTCTGCGAGCTAAAAGCATAGTTCTTGCAATGTTCATGTGAAATAAATGTGTGATTAGAAAAGAAAGTGACATTAAACACATCACACACACATTTAAAATTATGTAATGTGCAATATGTCGTAGCCCTCAAACCGCATTCACTTTATAGCCCTTAATCCTGTAATTGTGGACAAATGTGTGGACTCTGGTGTGAGCCTAATTTTTATTTATTATATTATATCACTGTCTTCGATAAAGTTTTGTCTATCCATTTATGGTGGTTTTTTTTTTAATTTTGGGGGTATTTTTGAACTTATTTACTTTAAAAAGTACCATATTTTCTAGTAAATTATTAAAGTACAGTAAATTAAAACTACATAGTAAATTAATTACTATGTAGTTTTATTTGTGAAATTTTTTTTAACAACATTAAAATATCATTCCAATAAGTTCTTAAAGGAAAAACCTAAAGATGAAGTGACTTTGCTGTCACCTGGTGTCTTATTTTGGCTTATTTTAGAGTGCTCTAAATTACAGTTTTTTCCATTCATTTCAATGGGTGCCCATTTTTGACCCAAATACAAGATTAAGGAGTTTTTCACCTACTTAACATTGCAGGATTGAGTCAAAAAAAAAAAAAAAAAAATGTGTGTGTTCAGAAGGCAAACTTAGGAAAAGTAGCCAAGTCTTGTACCACTCAGATAAAGGGAAGTATTTGTTAAAAATAAATCAAAACTATTTTGCCCACATTTGTCCAGAATACGGTTTTAGGGTTAAATCACTCACAAACCATATTATTGTTTTTATGTATTTACATAATATTTAATCCATTTACTTTACATTAGTTAAGTAGTATATTTATATATTATATTATCAAGACGTTTTAAACGCAAACCTTCTTTATCTTACCAATAAATATTTTAATTTTGAATTGTACATCATAGATCACTAGCAAAAAAAGTAGAGTGATAGAGCCATCTAGAGAACAGAAAGTGTATAACACCTTGAGAAACAGATGCAAACATTCTTGACATTAATGAAGTTTTATAAAGTATATGCTGTGGGATTTAGGAACAAAAGCAATGATGGACTGATCCCAGGCAATCCAAGAGCAAGATATTGAATATTGAATCATCAATTAGATTTGCTGTTATTCTCACTGAATCTCTGGAATACAACGGTACATGTATAAACACATTTTCTGTTTTTTAACTTATAGTATCATTTCACAATTTAATATTAAATAAACTTTGACCGTATACACCACAGTGTGCTTGTGTGATTGTTTATGAACAGCAATAACACACACATCTTGTCACTGTCTTGTCCAGTCGCCTCAACATCTGTCGCCCTGAGCGTTTACGAGCTGATTTAATCTGGACCTCTCTCTCCCATTGCCCTCTTTCTCTCTTCTCCCCTGCCTCTCTTCATACTATCGCTCCTTAATCTCTGAACCGAACTGTTACACTGCTGCACTATCGGGTAAGATGTTTAAGGTTGACATTCTCTAGGAAACACAAAAACAAGGCAACATTCTGCCCTGTTTCTTTCAATACGTTCTCTCTCTTCGTTTTCTCGGCTTCAGACTGTGTGCTACACTGCATAAAGTGTCTTCTCTTTCACAGTCTCATTTACAGCAGAGAGTTCAGGACAGCGACCCGGGAGACAGAGGCGCTCTGTGATCCGTCTAAATCCAGGCTCATTAGAGGAAGTTCAGAATGTCCCATTCGGCACATACAACACACGCACACTCACACACACACTAATTCTGAAGAAATGTTGCAATAGATTCATAGATTTGACACCAATATGACGTGACTAATCAAAAACTATATTTAGAATTAGATTTTTTTATTTAGTTTTTATGAAATATTTATATTTTATCTTTATACCAATTATTATTATTATGTTAAATACTGAAACTACAGCAGGGGATGTGAATTTGTATTTGAGCTTATCATTACACAAACCTTCAGAACACTGAATATAATGTACAAATCAAATGGATTACTTCTATGAACATTTTTATTATTATTATTATTATGTCCATTTTGGAACTTGACAGCTGTAGTCCCCATCCATGTCCATTATATGGAAGAGAGGAGAATAAAAATCATAAAATCCTTTGTGTTCCACAGAAGAAAGAAATATGATTTGAACAAACATGGGGGAGCAAACATTCCGCCTACATCAGTATTAATAAAGCTTTTTGTTTAATTAAACACTGAGCCTGAGGGAATGACAATACAAAATACACAAATATGCACACGTGCGCGCACACACAGAGTAGTAGTGTGTTACCACAGACGCATGGTCACACAACACACATTTGCGAACACAAACAATCATATAACTTCCAACAATAATCTTTTGCTAAATTTACTCATATAAAAGCTAAAAACACAGATTTCCCTTCCTCTGACTCCCTCTTGTGGCCATACCATGTGTTTATTACTACTGCAGCTTTCTACTTTCCACAGCGAGTGGGTGTGTGTGTGTGTGTGTGTGTGTTTTTTCAAGTGCTGAAGAAATCACATCCCACAATATTATATAATCTGCTCTCACTTTTTCGCTTTCTCTCTCTCTCTCTCAGCTGAAAAGTGAGTGAAATTAGCATACGTGAGGCTGTAATTAGAGTAATTTAACACCAAATCTGTTAAAGCAACGACACATGATCTCACTGTCATCAAACATGCCATTTTAGTTATCATCCAACACAGAAGGAAAAAAAAAATTCACAATTTCCTTTTTACACATGATGTGGGCTGCAGGAATAACGACTGAAGGAAATATCGTAGGTAAAAGATGCCTTAATTTTATCTGGTGAAGACTTGAGAGCTCAAACTGTTGCATTAATATGAGTGTGTGGATATTTACTATGTTCTCCTGTAGAAATATTTCCCAAATGTGTGGAAAATACACTTAAACATTTTTGAAAAACAGATCCAGTTATGAAATTTCTACTGTTCAGTGTCATACCCGGAGATGCTACCATTATACAATAGCCGTGGTTTCGCTGCAGTTGAAAGCAAGACAGATCGGACAGGATTATTTATCAAACCAATACAATTACAGGCAACATTCAGAGCCAACCGAAACTCTATTACGACAAATCGGCCAATAAGACGCCAGAATGATTCAGTATGATGTCTCACAACCTCTGGTTGTCATTTTAAAGGTCCTTCAGCAAATCTTGTTTCAAAAGAGCTTCATTCCAACTACAGTCGCACAACTGTAACAAAATATACAGCTAAATGCTCGTGTGTGTGTGTACTACATACAGGGTTCACTTCTCACATCATTTAATCAATGAATTTCCATGACTTTTCCCATCATTGCCATTTGTAAAAGACATTTTAAAGAGATCTCAAAGAGAACTCAATAAGAGTGATCTATAGCTAATGAAATAATTATATTATATTATGTTTAACCCTCGGGTGCTCTTCGTTTCGGAGTCACACTTGTTATCTTCCTGGTCAAAAGTGACCGGACTAATTAAATTAAATTTCCTCCATCCCAGTAAAACCAATGCAATTTATTTTTGTTCTATAATATTTTTTCTTTGCAATTTAGTATTTTGAGACAATTTGATTGAATGTATTAATATTTATGCAATATTTATTGTCTATTTTTGCCATGGAAAAAAAAAAAAATATATATATATATATATTATTTTTCAAAAAATTATTAATGCAGTATTTTAGTTTAATATAGAGTCTAGGCCTTCAGAAAAAAAAAAAAAATTGAAGAAAATTAGCACCTGGTTAGCACCATCTGGTTACAGTATAGAGAAAAAGCGTAGAATCATGGTGTAACCACTAGATGGCATGTACAGCTCTCTATGGAGAGGCATGTGAATTCCCCAGATGTTTATGAACACATTTTTTTTTTTTTTGGTGGATTTGAATATTTAGTTGAAAAAATCTCAAAAACGATTTTTATTAAAAAAAATTTTTTTTTTAAAAATAATAAAAATGTGAATTTTTGTGTTTTTGTCAATTTCCCATTCATTTCCTATGGGGGTCATTTTTGACCAAAGACCACAAGTGTGACTATTTTTTTAAGACCACTTAGCATGCTCGGATCATGACCTCAATTTTTTTGTGTGTTCACATACATAAAGCCATAAAAGTCACCAAGTTTCGTAACACTCCGATGAAGCTGTGATTTTTTAAATTTCAAAACAGAACATTTTTCGGTCAGAAATGACCAAAGATTTATTTACAATTTTCATGACCTTTCCAGATTTTGACATCTCTCTTTTTTAAATTCCCTATTATTTCCATGTTTTCCTTGACTGTGGAGAATATTGTTTAAGAGCCAAAGACAACTAAATGCATGTGCGCAGAACCTAGCAACAGGCAGAAAGAGAGATAAGCAGGACTTACGTTGATGAGCTCGATCTCCCAGATCTTCTTGACCAGCTCCATGGAGGTGTAGCCGTTGATGAGGAAAGATTTGGTGTAGTCTCCCAGCTCCAGAGACTCCAGCCATTCAGCCACTGAAGTAGGATTATTTCCATCGTAACCAATGGGCCGCACCTTAAACACGGAAACGACCCGTTAAACAACCATATCAGCAACCAACCCAGAGGCTGGACACAGTTTGGGTTACGAATAGATACTGTAGGTCCAATAACAGGAAATGTTGTTATTCCATTCTGGAAACACCTGTGTGAATTTCAATCCTGCTCCACACTGGTTATTGGTCTAGCAGATAAATAAGGGAGAAACAAGCTAACAAAATCAGGCAATCATTCCCATATTTATTGATAAAAGAACATATCCTGAATACACCGCAAAACGCTTTGGATAAAAGCATCTGCCAAATGCATAAATGTAAATGGAGAGAAGCTATCAGCTAAAGCAGCGTTTAAAAGCGCTGACTGCAGATGAAAAAGTTTTTCTCTTTTCACAGTGAGCTCTCATATCTCTCTCTTTCAGACGCATACCATTTCCTGTCCTTAATCTTAAACTCAACTTCTTTTCAAAGGAATCGTTTTCATTTTGAACCTAAAAATGAAAATTTTCATCCTTTACTTTTCCATATAATTCAGCTTACTGGGGATTCAGGCCATTGAGCTCCAAAACAACAAAAGAAGCACCATAAAAGTATCAGAATTAGTAGAAAATTATAGTGAACAGTGAATTAAATTGGGTCTTTTAGTAGTTAACACCAATTTTATGGTGCTCTTTTTGAGCACGGAATAGCATTGACTTTTCTTGTGGAAAAGAACACCTAGAACATTCTTTAAAATATCTTCTTTTGTGTTCCACTGAGGAAATAAAGTCATACAAGTTTGAAACAATGTAAACGATGACAGAACTGTAATTTTTGTGTGACCTACCCCTTTAAACTCTCCCCTCTCCGCTCATGTTTGAGGTTTTCACATTTGTTTGAACAAAGGCAGCTTTGCACATTAATGCGTGTGTGCACGTACATGCGTGTCCTTTCTATCTTATCAGAACACACAACCATTCCCCTCTGCGGGGTCCTTTCAGAGATTGTGAAGGAGAAAGGGAGCGCAAGGTTGTTTGGGACACAAGTGAGATTTATTTGATGTCGAGTCGCCTGCACATACACACACACTCTTATATGGCAATACCAGAGGCTTTGCTGGATTACTCTTGAGGGGGTCTTAAACTGAGCGCTCTTGGGGGGAGGGTGCACTCTGGGATGTGTATGTGTGATAAATGTGGATACCATGTAACCTCATTTAGTAATGAAATCCATGACACGCACATGTATCACATACAGAATTTCAATCGCACTGCTACACTCTTAAAAATAAAGGTGCTTTATTGACATCTATAGTTCCATGAAAAAACATTACCATCCAATGAATCTTTCCACTGCTTATAACTTTCTTTATAGTGGGAAAAGGTTTTATTGATTTTTTAAATATTCTCCACATTACGAAAAAAAAAATTATTTTAAGAACTGTTCACTCAAAGGTTCTTTTGGCAAATGAGTGAACTCATTACAATGCTCTCCAGTTCAGTGTCTTTGTGTAAGTCACTGAACTCCCATCGGGATTGCCTGACCGTAGCATATCAACCCATTACATGTGCAAACACAAAGCGAAGCCCAAGTATATCATTTCTGGAGCTTTATAGCAACTGGTTACAATTTGTTCTCCTTGTAAACTAAAATCATGCAGGTTTGGATCTCGGTAGGATCGGTGAGGGAATGTTCTGAATGCATTGTTAGCTATATTTTTGGAGCCCTAAGAGTCCCTGATGTACTCACCCTGGGTAGCAAGCGAATAGCCTGAAGAAGTCGCTGTCTGTGGGCAGAGTTTAAAATCCCGATCTCCAGCAAATCCTGGTCCTCCACAACATTACTGCCCTGCAGTACAAAAAATAAATAAATAATAATATTTGTTAAAAATCAAATAATTTGTACTACTATCCATATAAGGTTCACTGCAACATGTGTTGAAGTAGTAACATACAATTATAATAATAATTGTTAATATTCATATTACTTTTTATTTATTTAACCTTTATTTATCCAGGTAAACTGTTTGAGAACCACTTCTCATTTACAAACATGACCATGACCTGGCCAACAATTATTATTATTAATAAAAATAATACACAACAATATTGTCCTGCAGTAAAAAAAAAAAGTATTTTGTTTTACTATAACGGTGCAATGCAACAATAATATGTAGAAGTAGTGACAAAAACAAATAAGCAAAGAAAACAAATAAATAAATACATACATTATAAGTACTAATATTAATAATAACTATAATAATATTTTTAATTAATTAATATTTATTATTAGAGAGATTCCATCTAGTTTACATGGACAGATAAAGAAGGAATAAGATGCAATTTTCTCTATTTTTTTATTTTATTTTAAATTGCCCTCTTCAGTTTGCACCAACCCAATCAGGATATCCACAAGGCCATCAAACAGTATTCAAATCAACAACCCCCAACTTGATGTGCACAGGTGCAAGAAACACATGCTGTCACACACACACACACACACACAAATAGCGTGAACTACTGTTTCATGCAGAGTTTCACCTTTAATGACCTTTCACTAACTCCAATCAGAGCAATCAACCTCCTATCCAACAGGGCCAGAGAGCTGAAAATACACACTACCTAACAAACACACACGGCAGTATCGCATTCCCACCATGTGATTCGCCCATCTACAAAACAGAAACAGAACATGCGCACACATGCATGCTATGATGTGACTGTATCACTTCACAAAGCTAATAACCTTAATCCAACAACTCATGTATAATTTAAAGCTGCTGAAATCACCTCAGTCTGAGCGCCAGCATCTTCTTCTTCAATTTTTAAATGGCGGTTGAAAACAATGTGTTGCAATACCGCCACCGCTGGACTGGAGTGTATCACAGGAAATGCATATTTTCTATAAAATTAAATTATTTTAAAAAGCCCTGTATTTTTCAAAAACAAAATCAAAAAAATGAAAAATCTTCTCAGCATTTCTTTGTAAAATAATCAATACATGCTCTACTGTTTCAGGGGTAGGCCTTATGCCCATAGTTGCCATCAACATGTTTTTTCATTAGAAATAAAGTGCTATTAAGTCTGGTATGCCCAATTCTCAACCTGGACAATACCACTTCCTCATGTCTAGATTGAACCTGCAACCTTTTTAACTTTAGGCTGTATATTAAAAAGATGTCTCCCAAATGATTCATCATCCCAAAAGAATTGCCATTTTTTCATAAATTCTTGTTTTAATAATACTCTTAACCTCTGCTTTACTATATTTTATGTCAACATCAATGTTGTATCTCCCTGCTGCTTTCTTGGCATATATTTGTAAACCCGCATTTTGCAATCCACTCGCTAACTGTAAAATTTCCAGAAGAATGTCTTTCCTAGATCCTGAGTGCGAATTCTTGATACTTAAAAGAGCAGAACTAGAGTCAGATGCTATAACTACTTTTCTATTACCCCTATTACTTTCTACCCATAACAGGGCAAACCATATAGCTACAAGATCTGCTGTAAATACAGCCAAATCATCATTTAGCCTTTTACCTACAGCCAGTCCCAATTCAGGCACCACATGCGCCACTCCCACCCTTTTATCAGTTCTTTTCGAAGCATCTGTAAATATGATTATGTCCTGTCTGAAATGTTCTACTATATATCTAGTAACTTTGCATTTGTCCACTTCCTTCTCCTGCTTTTCTTCAAGTAGTCCTAGTCTAGATCCACTTTGAATTCCTCAAAAGTCCAAGGGGGAACTGTAGAGTATGGTGCTGTAGTATAGATATTAAGTTCACTTAACCCCATATTCTCAACTTTTTGTTTCAGTCGCTTTTGACAGTTTCTTAAAGGGATAGTTCACTTTGAAATTAATTTTTGATATGTTTTAGCTTGCCTCAAGGGCATCCAAGATGTAGGTGTCTTTGTTTCCACAGTATTTTCAATTTGGACATTTTTCAGTCAAACCGTTGTTGTCTGTCAGTCATATAATGGAGGTCTATGGGGTCCACCTCAAAGAGCATGCACAGAGAAGTCCAAATTAAACATGATTTAATGACTCGTAAACGTAAGTACACATTGATGGCCTAAGACACGAAACGAACGGTTTGTATTTATATCGTTTATACCTCTTGTAATCATAGCCATGACAAAATGATCTGACGGCACGGGCACTTCGGTCTGCGCATGCGCCGGAAGTGATCACTTACGCGCCTACGTCACTCTTTGTTTATACAGAGATTTCGGAAGTTTTAGCTTCCACTAAACATATTTAGATATACGGGAAACCGCAACGGAAGACGATTTCGGTATATCTAAATATGTTTAGTAAAAGGTAAAACTTCCTAAATCTCCATGTAAATATTGAGTGACGTCGCACGCAAGCGATCACTTCTGGCGTAAAATTGAACTGATTCAGTTCGGTTCAGTTGGACATTGCACAACTGATTCAGATCAGTTGGACGTCACTGTGATTACAAGAGGTAAAAACGATATAAATACTTTTCGTTTTCTCACACAAACCGTTCGTTTCGTGTTTTAGGCCATCAATGTGTACTTACTGTACATTTACGAGTCATTAAATCATGTTTAATTTTGACTTCTCTGTGCATGCTCTTTGGTGGACCCCCTTAGCCTCCAGTGTATGACTGATAGACAACAACGGTTTGACAGAAAAATGTCAAAATTGAAAATACTGTGGAAACAAAGACACCTACATCTTGGATGCCCTTGAGGTAAGCTAAAACATTCAAAAATTAATTTCAAAGTGAACTATCCATTTAAGACTGGCTGTGCAATATGATCATGATTATGTCCCATAAGATTAGCCCAGTACACTAGGGCAAATACAAGGGCATCTCCCCCACCTCCACTTGGATGGCTGCCACTGGAGAGGTTTTGACAGCTCCACTACATATTCTCAAGGCCTGGTTTTGTATTACATCAAGTTTGTATAATAATGACTTGGAAGCTGACCCATATGCACATCCATAATCAAACACTGATCTCATTAGACTAGTGTAAATTGCTCTCAATGCTGACCCTGAAGCACCCCACTCAAACCCACACAAGCATCTCATTACATTTAGAATTTTCTTACACTTTTCCACCATCTTCTGTATATGAAATGCCCATGTCAACTTCCTATCAAACCATACTCCCAAATACTTAAAAACCTCTGTTCTTTCCAGCTCTCTACTTGACAGGTGAACTGCCCATTTCTGGATCTTCATTTTCTTATTCCTCCCTTTCTCCCACATGACTCCATCATCAGCAAACAAAGCTACTCCATCATGCCCCTGCACATTTTTAAATGTCTGATCTATCATTATAGCAAAAAATATAGGGCTAACAATACTCCTCTGAGGAGTACCGTTCTCAGATATATATTCAGCACTTAATTCCCCATTTATTTTAACCCTTAAGCTTCTTTCAGACAAAAAGGCGCATTCTGCCCCCAATCCCCATTTGCTGCATCCTGATAAATAGGCTATTTGTCCACATCATATCATAAGCTTTTTCGATATCAAAGAATACTGCCACCACTGATTCTCTATTTACTTGAGCTCTCCTTATAACATCTTCCAAACGAGCCCATTTCCAAACATACCACAAGGTCCATAGTACCTCTACCTCTTCTAAAACCACTCTGATAACTATTCAGAAGCCCCTTAGACCCCACCCAGTAATTCAACCTATCATTTACCATTTTCTCCATAGTCTTTCCCACCTGAGAAGTTAAGGCTATTAGCCTATAGCTACTTGGATTATGAATATCTTTACCAGGCTTCCTAATTGGAACAATTATGGATTCTTTCCATTCTTTAGGAATCATTCCCTCCACCCATATCTTATTAAATAGCAGCAACTGCTTTTCTTTACCTATATCACTCAAGTTATCCAACATGAATCCCTTCCTGGAGCAGATTTTCTTAACTTCTTTAGGGCAATATTTAGTTCTGTTCTAGTAAAAAAATCATTAATCCTGCCTCCTTCCTTATGAACACTCTCATCTGAATTAGAATATCTTAAAATTGTTTCTTCTCTTCCTTTCTTCCTTTCTTTTCTCCAGACTTAGGTTATCAGAACTATGCACCCTAGCTAACGTTTTTGCAATCACTCCTGCTTTATCTTTACTCGTACTCACAATATTCTCTCCATCTATGAGCATAGGATAATCATAGTTTCTATTCATACTCCAAATCCTCTCTAAAGGGGTAGTCCGCCCCACAGAATCACAAAATCTTCTCCAGTATTCCTTTTTTGCCTTCCTGACAGATCTTCTCACCACAGCTTGTGTTCTCTTGTATTCACAGCAATACAATCCAGACCAGAGTAATGGCACTCTGAGTGGATTTAGGTTAATTGAAGGTGTCCCAAGACATTACTAATCAATCAGAGCACAGACCTGCTGAGAGCACACTGTATACTCCTGCTATTTTTTTTTAAACAGAACAGAATGCATTATACAAAGATAAATGTTTGCAAATGTATTGCTATCACATTACACTGCATGTTTAATTCAGCAAGCAGCATTAAGTTATAATCTGGAAATGAATACAGTACATGTTCAATGCAAGCTTGTGTAAAATGTCTCTCAACTCTTAGCATTTTAATCAAACAAGGGTCCAATTTGTTTAAAATTAGAGTTGATAATTCCAGTTTCTTTGCAATTCAAATGTGTAGTTGAGTCCATAGTATTTTGGGAAACAGTATTTCATACAGTGTGTTGCAAATTCAGTATAGCTACTAGAGTAGTGTGGTAGAGCGAATTCATTTCAGTATATACTGTGTGTGTAAAAGTAAAAGTGCTGCCCAAATGTTACTGTTATAGACTCATGTATAAAGCCTTCAGCT